TCGATTATAAAAACGAAAAAAAATTGTAAATCAAAGCCAATGGTCCAGAGGGATGAAAAAAAAAAAAAAAAAAAAGGAACCAATATTGGGCGGGGACAAAAGGGCTAAAATTTTCCCAGCGAGGGTCAAACCCTTTGGGAAGAGAGAGAGACTAACAGATTCTGTAAAAACGTGTATATACGAAATTTTCTGAAAAAAAAACCTGGTTACCATGGTTTACTATACCATTTTCATATATATATATGTGTATATTCGGCAGCTGTAACGATTACGGACGGAAGGGTAGGTAACCCAAGAGCCCTACCGGGGTTTTTTTTTTTTTTTTCCTCTCTAACCCATAGGTATACGCATATACGTGTGTGTGCGTGCGCGTGTATGCGTAAGCTTTTTTTTTTTTGTAAATTATTAGGGTGAAAATCAACGGTTCACTCATACATTATGCAAACTTATAATTCTCAATATTGAATCCCTCCACTTCATGACAGGAAAAAAATAATTTTATATAATTTTTCATTTATTGTTGTATACTCTGCATTCTTTTATAATTTTTTTTTCCCTTTCTCTCTCTCTCTCTCTCTTTTTTTGACAATAAACCATGTAATCAAATTTTTATTTTCGTTTTTACATGTTTTCAACAAAAAAAAAAAAAAAATCCATCAACAATTCCCATTTTTTTTTAAATATAAAAAATCGTTAAATTTTTTTTTTCTTTTTGCAATCTCCTTTTAAAACAAAAATTTAATTAATAAAAAAAGAAAATTAAGTTTTTCTTCCCCCCCCAAACCCTCTCTAACCCCCTTCCCCACCAGTTGAAAAAGTAAACAACAAACAATAATCTATCTATCAACAACTTTATATACCAAAGTATTTATTTCAACAACAAAAAACGTTTAAAATGACAAACAAAAAGAATTTTTTTTTCTCTCTCTTCATCTTCTTCTTCTCTTCTCTTTTTTTACCTCTCTTTAGAATCTTCAACATAAAAAAAAAAAAAAGTTTCTTAGGGATGAATAAAAAATTTTAAAAAAAAAACAGTGAGAGAGAAAAGGCACGTGCCATTGTCGCACCACAGGTGAAAGATTTAATACTTATATGAGAGAGAGAGAGAGAGATAGGGTTAACATAATCCACGTGTCTAATTAAATTATCATCTTTTTTTTTTTTTGGTTACTTTTTTTTATTGTGCCATCTTGTTAAACCCTCAAACAATTCGCAAACGATTAAAAAAAAAAAAATTAGCAAGAAAGTATTTTTTTTTGGGGGGGTAGGGGGAGGAGGGCGGAAATTTCGCGTTATGATAACATCAGCAAATAATAAGTTTTTTTTTTTTTTTTTTTTTGCATGTAAGTCAGGTGCGTAAAACGATAAACGGGGAAAATAACGGTGTAATAATTTGTACATGTGCTCGAAAAGGGTTGTTGGATTAACCCCTTTGCCACCTGTTGGCATATTACTATTATTATTATTATTATTATAACGGTAGGTTATTTTATAACAAACATATAACAAAACCTTTTTTCGACCTGAATTTTTCTCTTCCTTTTCCTTTTTCATTTTCATTTTCCATATTTTTTTTTTGTATATTTAAAAATTAGTAAAATTCCTACATTTCAAATTATTACGTTTACATAATTAACAAAAACAGAAGAAAAATTTTAAAATGCAACGCGTACAAAAACGAAAATAATAATAATAATAATAATAATAATAATAATAATGAGAAAAAAAAATGTCCTTAAAATTCTTAGAAGAAAGTATTGATTAAAGAATAAAGACTTATGATTGGTTGATTATGAACAAGGGCTGGAACCCCCCATAAGAAACTTTTTCCTTTCCTTTCCTTTCCTTTTTTATTTCCCCCTTTAACAAAGTCTTGTCATTGTTACGTTTGCGACTGACAATAATAATAATAATAATAATAATGATAATATATATTTAAATGATTTTATTTTTTCTCTTTTTTTTTAAAATCATTCGATTTCATTTACACAATTTTGTCAAAAAAACTCTTACAAAAAACCTGAAATGACGTAATCAATCTTTCAAAACCACAAAGTAAACAAAAATTATTAAAATAATAATAATAATAATAATAACAAATAGTTTTTTTCTTTTTTTATCGATTGATTTTTTTATTTATTAAAAAAAAAAATTTACGACTCGTTTATTTTGACGTTTAAAGTCAATTAGGTTAAACACGTTAAGGGGTTACCTTTTTTTTTTTTTATGTCATTACTATCATAACCAAACATTACCTTTTAATTGAATGGGTTACATCATAATAAACCATTTGGTACCACTAACTTTTTTTTTTTTTTTAATACAATAAAAAAAAGGGTTTCATCCCCGTTCGTGAAAGGGGTATTAAAATAATAATTTTTTTGCTTTTTTTATACCTGCTCGCGTGGCAATAAAACGCCTAAAAAAAAATTTTTTTTTTTTTTTATTGATTTATTTATTTACCCTTTTGGTTTTTTTTTAATCTTTTAATATAGGTTAAAAGTCACCCATTTTATTTATCCCTTAATCATTATTATTATCATCTATATAATAAATAAATAAATAAATGACCTGCCAACACGTGGTTATTTATTAATAATTTTAAATAAAATTTTCTATTTTATCAAAACGTTGCAAAATAAATTATTAAACTTATTTATTTTATTATGTACATAATAATAATAATAATAATAATAATAATAAATAATAATAATAATAATAATAATAATAATAATAATAATAATAATAATAATAATAATAATAATAATAATAATAATAATAATAATAATAATAATAATAATAATAATAATAATAATAATAATAATAATAATAATAATAATAATAATAATAATAATAATAATAATAATAATTTAAATAAAATATTAATTAACAATAATTTTTTCTAGAAACAAATAATTAATTTTTTGCTTGAAGCCTTTTAAAAAAGTTAATTTTCAAACCGTAAATAATAATTAAGAACAATGGGGGGTAAGTGAGGGTGGGGGTGGAAGTGGGGGGAAGGTTAGTTATAATGCGTCTCGTAATGTAAACGATAAAAAAAAATTTATTAATAATAACAATAATAATAATTTTTCCGAATTAATTCTTTAACCTGCAACTTTCCTACGTGTTTTATTTTAACATTGAAAAGAGAACGAGAGAGAGGGGGAGGGAAAGGGAGAGGAGAGGGGAGAGGAGAGGGGGTGGAATGTTTTGTGTAAAATTTGTTAGTTTTTATAAGGAAACCCCACAAATTTTTGATAAGAAATTATCAAACAAAATATATATGTAAATAAAACGGCGTCAAAGATTTTTATTTAAGCTCCTCTGGAATTGAGATTTTTTTTTTTTTTTTTATATTTCAGGGTTATTCTTATAACCGATTATAAATTTTTTTTTTTTTTGTTATCTTTCATTTATAAGGTATGGAAGAAGGTTTATCTTAAGGGTGTAAATGTGTGTATGTGTGTGCGTGTGTGTTTGTGCGTGTGAATCTAAGAATAAGAGTCATAATAGGTATTTTGACATGGCGCCTAAAGTTATTTATGACATTAAAATAATAATTTACCCGTTTTTTCCTGTAATAAAAACTTTTTATCTTTTAAATTTAACTTTTTCCTCATGTACTTATGTACATATATCGAATATTTATTATGTTAATGCAAAAAAAAACAATTTTAAATAATAATAATAATAATAAATTATCTAGGAAATCGCACTATGTGGGACGGCCCACATTCTTCGGAAAATACTATATAAATAGCACCACCGAAATTCGAACATTTGCCCCTAAGGAATCGGATAGAAACCTGGAATAAATGCCTTAAAAACCCCGACAAATAAGAGCCTTCTCATGTTTAAGAGTGATAATAATAGTAATAATAACACACTCTCCCGTAATTCGTTTAAATAAAAATATAAATTAGAGTATTTTTAATTCTACTTTACCCATTTTCCTATCAAAGTAAATAATTAAAAACTTTTTCTAAACAAAAACAAAAAAAATTTTTTTTTTGTTTTTAAAAAATAATAATAATAATAATAATAATATTAAAAGAACACAGTGTTTATTGACCCCGTAAAAAAAAAAAAAAAATATTCGGTGGGCGAGCCCGAGAAGGGGGGCGGGTTTTTTTTTTTAAAACTACTTATTTCAAACAGTAAAAAAATAAATAAATAAATAAATAACTATTTTAAATTAAATGATGACGTAATAATTTTACTAAAATTAGTTAATAACGTCATGTGATCGATACTTTGCTTTGTAAAAAATACCTTTTCATAACTTCAGTTGTTTCGAGTTGAAAAACAAAAAAAAAATAAAACACAGTAATTTATTTGAATGACAATGATTGGTTGCCAGTAACAATACGTGAATCTACTGTGGTTGCTAAATAAACTTAATAATATATATATATTATTTTTAATAATTAATTAAATAAATAAATTTTTTTCTCTCTACCTATCTCTCTCTCTCTCTCATTCTCTCGTTTAAATAAATAAAAAAGTTTTTAAATATATTAAATAATTATATGATACGTTAAATAAAGAGAGAGATAATATATAAATATATTTAAATAATTATGGATAACGCAAGTAAGTATTAAATAATAAATAAATTAGTTTTTTTTTTTTTTTTTTTGATAAACTAAAAGGTTGAAATTATTATTTTAGCAAAAAAAAAACTTGTATCACGTGATAAAGTAAAAACTTTTATCACTGTAACATAATATTATCAATAACAAGATGATGTAGTTAGTAAAATAAAGTATAGTACAAATAATATATATAAAATTTTTTTTTTTTCAATAGCAAATTACGATCGTAATTTATTGGTTAACAAAGGGAAAAACGTTAACGACAACGTCGTTCTACAAGAACATCCCTCGGTGAGTACAGAATTATCAAAATGGAAAAGAACGAAATCTGGAATAAAGGGAATAATTAAAAATCGCGTCAAATCATCGTATTATTTAAGACCCAAAACGAAATCCTACGAAATGAAAAAAAAAGTGGAAAAAATAAAACAAAAATTACGGGACGACGACATTGAAAAAAGTTTAAGGCAGTTAAAACAATTTTGCATAATGCAATTATCGAAAGATGACGATGCGAAAAATAAAATACAAATAAAAGAAACGGAAAAGGAAAATAATTTTTCAACGAATCCCATCGCCGTCATTGGTTCGGCCATAGAGAAAATATTAAAATTTTACAAAGTTCATAGAATAAAAAATAATGAGAAGCAAGAAGTTAACTGGCAGGAAGAGACTAAGGTTATATTAAATTCAATTGTAAATACGGAAAAAATGATTAACGAAAATTTAAAATTTAAAAATCCCAAAGAGGATTACGTGGATGCGAAAAGTGATTTTTTAATAGAAGAATTCGACGACATTAATAAAAAAAGGAAAATATTAACGAGTAAAGTTTTAACAACCGAAGAACAACAACAACAACAACAACAGCAACAACAACGCATCGTTAAATCCGATATAAACGTTAATCAAAAAAAAGATAATAATAATTGTACCGATAAGAAAATTAATAATCACGAAGAATGCATCGTTATTAAATTTCCAAAAAGTTATTCTGGAGAAAACGTACAAAATTTTCAAATGTTAACTCCAGGACTCATAGAAGCCATACAAAAAGCTCTACAACATTTACACTTTCAAGATGATTTGAGATTGAATAAAGGTTACATCTTAGATATAGAACCAATTAATTCGACAAAATCAAACGGTCATACTTTGGAATCGTCAACAGCAGCAGCATCATCATCATCATCATTATTTCAACAGGATGAAAAAAAATTACAGGATAAAATATGTAAACTTCCGGAAGAATGTTTAAAAGAAAAAATATTTGGAAAATGGAGCGAAGATGTTGTGGAGTCGGAAAGTTCCATGCCTATGGATTTATCTAAAAAATCGTTAGAATATAATCAAAATAAATATGCGGAAGTGAATGCTATCGATAAACCGGATGTACTCACCGGAAAAGACAAAATAAATTTTTTAAATCAACCAAAGGGTGGATTTTTTCGCCAGGATTTTTTAAACAATGCCGAAAAACACGAATTAAGAGTTTTCCCAAGTTATTTCAGCGATAAAACGGAAAGCATTCTCAATCAAATGGAAGTGATTTTGGAAGAAAAAGGAGTCATAGAAGAAAAATTCAAGGAAAGACACACGGAATTGGTTTTTATGAGAAATCATTTGATTCAATTAACGGAAAAAGAAAGAGCGGAATTTTTTTCAGAATTTTTATTCGATTTAAAAAGGGATATGAGAAGCAGCAAGAAATCCGTACACGAATGCGATATATGCCAGAAAAAGTTTGGCAGGCTATGGGTGCTCAAAGGACACAAAAGGTTGCACAGCGGTGAAAAACCGTTTGTGTGTCCGGAATGTGGTAAAACATTTGCAGATAGGTAAGTTAAACATAAAACCCCCGAAAAACTATTTTTTGGAGAAAAAAAATTCATAATGAAAATATTCAATGGTTCCAGATCGAATTTAAGAGCACATCAAAGAACTCGCGGTCATCACAAATGGGAATGGAGGTGCGCGTCATGTAATAAAGCCTTTAGTCAAGAACGATATTTGGACAGACACAGACCGGAAGCGTGTCAAAAATATTTACAGGTATTCAAAAAAAAACCATAATAATAATAATAATAATAATAAATTATATAGAAAAAAAATAAAATAAAATAAATTAATTTACAGTACACCGTTCGACAACATGGCGTTAAAAAATTTTCCGAAATTCAAAGAGATGAAGAATATGAAACATCAAGCGATACGGGTTTATCTGATGAGTAAAACTCCAACAACTATTTTACAAAAAAAAAAAAAAAAAAAAAAAAAGAAAAGGAATGACTAATTTTCGACACTCGAAAAGCTTTTGGCAAAAAAAAAAAGAGAAAAATCTTTTATAATATATAAGAACACGTTAAAAATTTTATCCTGATAGGTTCAACCCTTAGAAGTCCTTCCCCCAAATAAAAAAGAAAAATTTTTTGCGATAGGGTTATAGGCTAAACATAGATCCTAGGATTTATTTCGTAAAATTGGCGAAAGGGCTCAAATGACCAAGGGTTGAAATTCAGTCAACCCTTACAATTTTCAAAATAGAACTCACGAATTTAATCGTCGCATGGGGAAATTTCAAGGATTTTACCAAAAAAAAAGGAAAAAGTTTTGCCGACTCCATAACCGATTCAATATCTTCTATATAAAATAATTTTAATTCATTAAAACTTATTTATCAATAAATTTATTATATATATTATAATATTAATAATAATAATATTTTAAACGTCGTGATTTTTTTTATAAATAATCTCTACCCATATGAGGTTAAAAATTAATTAAAATGGCGACAAACGAATCCCTCCTCCTCCTCCTCTTTCTCCCCCTCTTCCCCTCCTCCCCGTTATCGATTAACGCAATCATTTATTTTTCCTATCATTTTTCATATTCTATGTACTTATGTACATAGGCATATATGCATATGCATATTTGACTTCATTCACGTAAACTTTTTAACTGAGCCACTAAATAAGTGTGCTACTAATAATATGTTTTATGCAAAAAGGATACATCTACATTTATTTTTATTTATTTTTTTAAAAACCGGAAGTCGATTTAAAATTCATACATAATTTTTTTTTTTTTTTTTCAAATATTTTAATATTGAAATTTTGTATAAATAAAAATTTATGTTTACAAATGATTCAAAATAAATGGTCGTTAAGGCATTGGGGATGAATAAAAGTATAAATTAAAGTTTCGTACTTATTTAACCCTATAAAATCATCCCTTATATTTTCCTCGTACCTGTTTAAATATTTATTTCCGTTTAATCTTGTGTCAGACAGAAAAAAAAAACCTGAACCGTTTTTACAATAACATTAGTCATATTTGTAAAGTTTTTTTTTTTTTTTAAATACCAATTTCAACTTAAAAATAAATAAAAAATTTATTTTTTTTTAATAGTGCGCGTATCATACAAACGACGACGCCATCTTTAATTTCATAATAAACAAAATCAATTAATAATATTAAGTTATGATGGCAGCATATATATATATATATATATATATATATATATATATATATACGTATGTAAACGAATGATTATAATAATATAAACGACATATATACCGTTTATGCATTAACAACCCTCAGAGGGTGGTTTTTATAGAATGAATAGATATTGCGCCGAGTTGTTCATAGTGTGGGGAAAAATAGTTGTGCAAGGACTTTAATATTTCAGTTGAATGGTCGAACTCGGTGGTGACGTAACTTTATAGATCGGATAGTTAGGTTAGTTTATCGGGAAAATTTTCCTTTTTTTTTTTTTTTTATTCTTTTTTCCTATTTCCTATCCATCCCTTCGATAATATTATTTAAAATATTTTTTTACACGCGCACACGCATACATATATGTATATATATTATTGGATATCGTGTATATATAAATACGCATAAATTTTTATACCGACGTGTTTTTTTTACCCGTTTTTATTATTTTCCGATCGTTATAAACGAATCTGTAATTAAAAAAATTTATACGAACAATCATCATTATTATTATCGTAACGTGTGATCATTTTCATTATTATTATTATTAATAATAAATAGAAAAAATTGATTTTAAATCAAACGAAATGACCGCGAATTATTATTATTATTAATACGGGAAAATTTTTATAACCGTAAATATAAATATACGTACAAAATCGTGAAGTTTTTAAAAATAGTTTTTTTTTTTTTTTTGTATTTAAAAGTAATTAATTTAATAATTAATGAAAAAATTAATCGATAATGGCATTATCGATGCTAAAGCCAAATGATGCATCAACCAAAACAGGTAATTATCATTATTATTATTATTATTTTTAAAAAATTATTATTGTTAATTTTCAACATTTAAATGCATGTAAATTTTTTATTGCGTCCTACGTTTTTTTTTTTTTTTTTTTTTCATTTAAATAAATTATTATTATTACTATTATTATTTAGTGGAAAAGAGATAGAGATAGAGAGAGAGAGAGAGAAAAGATGAAGAAGTAAGACAAAGTTTGAATTGTTTTACGGATAAGAAAATATTTTTGTATAAATAAAAAAAATTTTTTAAATAATAATTAAACACACACACATACACCAGATAAGAGAATTGAATAAATGTACTTATTTGTTTTAAATATTTAAAATCAATCTTATATCATTGAATAATAATAATAATAATAATTTTTTGTTAGTTGAAAATATGTTTTTTGATTATTATTATTATTATTATAACGGAAAGTTAAATAACTGTGACCGAGTGACCAATAAATCATTATACAAAATTCAAAAAAAAAAAACTCATATTTGTTCATCCCTTGCAAACATCTTGTTTCTAAGAATTCCATAAGGTTACAAACCTTTATAAATTTTTTACGTATTATTATTATTATTATTATTATGTGTTTTTTCTTTTTCGTTAAATTTTCAGGTCTAGCACCAGTTGCTAGAAATCGTTTTAGAGGAAATGGAGTAATTAAAGATTCGCCGGAAGATGATTCCGAAATAGATAGAAACAGTCCGAAATCTTCCATAGATTCAAACGGTTTACCCTATAAATCGTTGTCGTCGCTAAATTTATTTCCAACTTCGGTTTTGGCCAGTCAAATGCTCGGAGGATTATCCCTTCATGCGACTTTGGCATCCGCATCCGGAGCTTTCGCTCCTAATTGGTACCACGATCCGAATTCCCCTCCGCACACACCCTTGGCCTCGACCAAGAAAACGAATAATAATCACGTGACGAGTAGTACTCACGTTCGGAAAACTCGGAAAAAAGTCAAAATGTCACCGGTTGATAATAATGAAGTGAATAATAGCGTTATTTCTTTAAATAAATCATCACCTTCTCCGCCGCCTCTTACCCGCGGTTTGTCTCCGCAAAGTAACGGATCCGGACAAGAGATAAATTTAAAAAACGGAGACAAAGATAAAACGTTCACGTGTAGTGCTTGTAATCGATCTTTTGGATACAAACACGTTTTGCAAAATCACGAAAGAACTCACACGGGAGAAAAACCATTCGAGTGCAAAGAATGCCATAAAAGATTCACGCGGGACCATCATTTGAAAACGCACATGAGGCTTCATACAGGAGAAAAACCCTATCATTGCACACATTGCGACCGGCAATTTGTTCAAGTTGCAAATCTTCGACGCCATTTGCGAGTCCACACGGGAGAACGTCCGTACGCTTGTGATTTGTGTTCGTCTAAATTTTCCGATTCTAATCAATTAAAAGCTCACATGCTCATACACAAAGGGGAAAAACCGTTTCATTGTTCTTCGTGCAACGGAAATTTTCGAAGGCGTCATCATCTTATGCATCACAAATGTCCCTCGAAACAAAATGATTTATATAATTCCGTCGATTCCGAAAATATAGACGACGTAGACGAGGAAGATTCGTTGGATGCCGGGTTGGAAATAGACGATGAATTGGATTCACAAACGAAATACGCACAACAAAACGAATACGATTCTGAATATAGCGTCGGTGGTAAATCCCCGGATTTTTCAACGGCGCCATCTCCGGATAATTATCTTCTGTCAATAAATAATAATAAAAAATTAAGAGAACGAAAATCACGCGACATACGTAGAGTAGTTAGAATTTCCGATGTGTCGGGACCCATTTTGGATCCGGCAACGATTCCTCCGTTACTTCCGGAACAAACGGAACCAGAAGATTTATCAATGCCTAAAAGTAAATTACGTAAGCATCTTTCGCAAAATAATAATGATATTGAAAAAAACTACCACAGCCGAAATTGTGAGTCACCTTCATCGAGCGTTTCCAGATCTCCGTCAATAGAAAAAGATGAAATAATTTCGAGCTTACATCATCATCATCATCATCCGAAATTTAGGAAACATATCGAAATGTCCAACGGAAACACGATATCGTGAGGCCATTTTTGTTTTTTTGTTTTTTTGTTTTTTTTTATTTTCTTCCTTGAATTTACCTAAAATTTTTCATTTTACATGGCAAAAGGTTCGTATTTCGAGGGCTACCTGTTAATACCGATTCCACAGCGGTTACATTTAATTTTGGCACCCCGTCGAGAATCCCCAGTTCAAAAAATATTTTTATTTATTGTTTTTACTAGTTTAGGTTTTTAAAAAAAAAAAAAAAAAGAAATAATTGTACGAAAAGGAGTTTAAGGGTAGAAAGAAGAAAAAAAAAAAATTAAAACCCCCAAATGATGATGATGATGATGATGATGATGAGTTTGCTTTATTCTCATCCTTTAATTTTTAAATGTTTCTTGTTGGCGTCTTTTTTTTTTTTTTTTTTTTTTTTTTTGCGAAAATTAATTTTTATTTGTCACAGTTGAATAACATTTTAAGTGTTTATTTTTTTTTTCTTCAGCTTTCTTATTAGGTTTTCCAACCTAAAAATTATTCATACTCATTTTGTTTTTATCACCTGCCTCAATTTTAAAACAAACATTGACGTATAAACATACAAAAACACAACAAACAACAACAACAACAAATATTCTTTTTTTTTTTTGTACGTCTTAAAACAATTTTCCCACCCGACGCCATTTTATATTTGCTCATCAACGATCGGCAATTATTATTATTATTATTATTATTATTTAATGCCTTTTTAAAATCTTCCTGGCATAACATAATTATTATTATTATTTACATTCCTCTATTTTATTTTATTTTATTTAAATATTTGTTTATATTATTTTATATAAACAATTATTATTATTATTATTATTTTATTTAAAATGAATTGTTAATAAATTATTAAGTAAAATAATAATTTTAAAAAAAAAAAAGCCAAAAAAAAATTTGAAATTCGATTACGGGTAAAATACCAAATATGTATGGGGGGTAAGTGAATTATTATTATTATTATTTTATTTTTTCAATTAAAAAAAAAAAAACAGAAAAAAAAATTCTAGTGGAAATATTTTTTTTTTTTTTTTTTTAGTGTTTAGACATAAGTTTATTATTATTATTAATAAATAAATTTATATATATAAATATTATATATAGATAAATATTATATATTATTATTATTATTTTTTAGTTAGTAAAAAAAAAAAATAATCTGTTCGATTGACATATTTTTCGTTTTTGCAAAAACAAAAAAAATCATTCCGCCGCTTTTTTATTAAAAAAAAAAAAAAACAAACACGATGACGTCACGAAAATTTATTTAAAATAAAAAAAAAATGTTAACCCGACAGAATTTTAAAACGTTTTAGCTTTAATAATAATAATAATAATAATACTTAAAAACTAAAAAAAAATAAAAAAATATGTCAAGAAACAGATTTTTAAATTCAGGGAATTATTTTATTTTATTTTATTATTATTATTTTTTTTTTTTTTTTTCTGTTTTCATTTTTGTATTTGTTTATGTTATTATAGTAGAATTAAGTAAATGTTCAGAAAAATTAAAAAAAAAAAGAAAAGAAAAGAAAAAGTCTGAAGACTTTCAAAGAGAAAAAGAAAAAAAATGTAAGAAAATGTTTATTCCTTCCATAAATGAGACTGAATATTTTTTTTTTTTCAAAACTGCTCAATTTTTTTAACTATTATTATATTTAAAAATAATAATAATGATGATAACCGCGCGTACCTGTTATTTTATTGTAAAGGAAGGCAACAATACGCCTTCCTAAATATACAAATAATAAATAAATAAATAGAAGACTGCCATTTTGTAATCAATGTAATTTTTTTTTTTTTTAAAAACATTTACAACAAAATATTTTTATATGATTATTTATAAAAGGAATAAAATTTTTTAAATTTGAAATTTAATAACAAATTTTCTTTTTTTTTAAACTTGTAACCTTTTAACCCTATCATCATCATCATCATCATTCTTTAAATTAAATTAATTGATAAAAAAATTATTAATTTTTCAAAATTAAGAATTTAAAAAAAAAAAAAAAATTTTTGTTTTTTTTCCTGATTATCTCACAAAAGGTTTACATACCTAACTACCTACCTATCTATCCCATATACCTACTCATATACCTGGTTTAAAGGTTAAAAACTTGAAAAAAATAAAATCTTTAACCCAAAAATTAAAATCAATCAAGTTCATTGACTTTACAAAAAAAAATTATATTTTTTTTTACCCAGTGAAATCCTTATAGAAAATTATTATTATTATGAAACATGGATTTTAAAATGTCGGTTTGAGTTTCAAAAATGAAAAATTTTTTTTTACTTTAAAGCGTAGAAGAAAAAAAAGAAAACATTTTCTTATGTATTCGAATAATTTCATTTCCCTTTACATTTTTTTTTGTTATTTAAAAAAAAAAATTTTTCTTTTTTTTTTTCAATTTGTTTTCGTTTTTCCTCTAAAGATGACGAAAAAAATATGATAATAATAATAATAAAAATAGCAAATAAGAAAAAAAAACCTTGTGAAAATATTATAAAAAGGTTTGAAAAGGTCTTTAAACTTTCTAAAAATTCTAAGAGAGAGAGAGAGAGAAAGAGAGAAATCGTTGTCAGACTGCAAAAATTTAAATATGTCATATATTATGCAAAGTAACGTCAACCTTTTTTTTCCTTTTTCTCTTTTTTTTTCTTTTCATTTATTTGTTTATTATTATTATTATTATGTTATTTACAGTCAAAAAAAAAAATTTCTTTTATTGTTGTACCATCAACAATATTCTTATTTGGTTTTTCGAAAGCGCTTTTCTTTGATCTCGTTATTATTATTATTATTATTTTTACTCATAATCACAACGATTCGACTTAATGTTTGTGGGATTTTTATTCAACATTTATTCCAGGTTTCTATTCGATCCCTAAGGAATAAATGCTTAAATGTCAGTGATGCTGCATGCCTGACTAATAGGTTTTTGTCTTGTTATAACCTATGACATGACAACAATTCATGTAAGTCTCACTGAGACCATCTTATGTGATGGAAACAAATTATCTCCTGTACTCCTGGGCTCCAGTGACATACATCTGTGGAGTTGCCAGGAACAGGAGAAGTGAGATTCACAATCTTGTAACCTGACTAAGGTTGAGAATAGAACAAGATTTGTCTTTTGGTTCTGTCTTTATCTTGTTCTCATTTTGCTTTATTACAGTTATGAATCAGTTATCATATAACTTTTTCCCCAGAACTATTTCAATACTTAATTTCCCTACTATTTTCCCTCATGCATTCCATCTTTAATGTATGCACACAGTATACATACACAGCTACAGTATACAAAATACAACACAGTATACATATACAGCTACAGTGCACAAACTACAACACAATATACATATACAACTACAGTATACAAACTACAACACAATATACATATACAACTACAGTATACAAACTACAACACAGTATACAAATTACACTGGTAAACCTACAAACCTAATTAACCTGAGTTAAGGCAATTGAATTTTTCTAACCTTAAATAAAATTAAAAGAGAATTTTACACCAAACATATGGCAAAACATGTTACAATGAAACAAACTAACTTAAGAAAAGAGTTAAAGTAATGTACAATCAAAAGATCCACACTTAAAACAAGAGTACAGAGATTTCACATCCACCTGATACAATCAATTAATTAATTACAAGTATTTTTATTAAACTACCTCTCTTTTTATTTAGTGTGACAGAAGGTATTTAGCTCAACTACTTATAATCAGCTCATATGAGATGTACAATCATAAAATGGAGTCTTTTGTGTCTTTTCATAATACCTTACACTAAAATCAATTATTATATAGGTAACCAATTCCCCCTGACTTTGATTTAGATTTATAGAGAGTATTACATCATCTCTATGATACACAATGTTGTAATGAGACAAACTAAATCAAGAAAAGGCCTAAAACAACCTACAATCAGTAAATTAACCCTTAAAGATTAGGGAGTATATAGAAATTTTACACTGAGCCAGTATGTCAAATCAATCATTATTAATGAATATTTTTATTAAATTACTCAAACATCTTGTTTTTTATGATGACATGAAGAAGATATTTAGTCAAACTACTCATAATTAACTAAATAAATGTAAAATTCATTAAACTGTTTTTTGGGCATTTGGCTCCATTTTTTGTCAGCCTAACGTTTTGCAATTGAAATTAAAGTTTTAAAATGAGACACTCACCCATAATAATCAAATATACCAAGGCATGTTCTAAGGTTTTTTATTGCTGACGCTTCCATTTGTTCCATGAACCCGTTGACTATTTTTTAAATTTAAACTTAAAACAATTATAATTATCACTAAATAATATGAAAAACTAATTATATCACAATAAACTAAACTAAATAACAAAACTTTTGATATGCATAACTAATAACTAAATCATTAAATAAAACTATTAAAAATTAATTAAATAAGATGGCATGACGTAAACGCGCGCGTGTCAACCATTATTACTGCACACCCGCGCCCTCTTTTCAGCAACATCATATTATTATTATTATTATTAATGCAAAAATAAAAGAAACGATTAATTTCAGGCAAAATGGCGACGTTTCCAAAATTCCTTTTTTTTATTATAAAAATGAGTACACCTCTCTCTCTCTTTCTTTCTTTCTTTCTCTTTTCAAAATTTTAAAAAATTACGTTTGATTTACCATCTGTCGAAATTAATGTAATTTTTGAAACCTTTTTTTTTATTAATAGTTTTTTTTTTGTACGTTACGTACACGTTTACCTACGTGTTTACCTTATCAATATTATTATTATTATTATTCTTTTAATAACTTATTATTTATTAAATAATTTTAATTATTATTAATTAATTATTTTTAAAAAAAATTAAAAATAAATGAAAAATAAAAAGAAAAAAAAAAATTTTAAAAAGAAAATAATAATAATAATAATAATTTTACTTCCTCCTTCAAATGAATTTTCTTTTTTTTTTTAAGATTGGAATCAAAGGGGAAAAAAAACCTTTTATAAAAAAAAAAATTAGGGTTGAAAAAAAACTTACGATTTTTTTATTCAGAGACTCTTGGGGTAGAATCCGTGGGGTTGATTTTTTTTTTTTCCTTTTTCTTCTTTCGATTTTCTTCTTTCTTTACTTTTTCATTAAAAAAGAAAATTTCTTTTTTTTTTCTTATACGGGAAAATAATTCTGAGATGAAAATGAAAATTTTTTTTTCTTTCCAAAATTTATGTAAATATTACGAGATTTGATTGAAATTAATAATAATAATAATAACTCTGTAGTATTTAACATATTTTTAAAAGGAAAATTCTAGAAAATTTTATTCATACGTCATCAATTTTTTTCTTTTTTTGTTTTAATGAAAGGAAAATAAAAATAAAAAACGCGACGTTCTTCTTTAAAAAAAAAATTCTTCGGGAGGAAAAAAAAAAAAACTTACCCCTGAGAAAAAAAAATCAGGGCCCGAGGGATGAAAATGACTCACGCTTAAGCTTCTGTTTTAAAAAAATTAAAAAAAAAAAAATTTTTTTTCTTCTCTCTCTCTCTCTCTCTCTCTCTCTCTTTTTTTTTTTTATTACATCAAAGATGAATTTTGATTTTTTTTTTTACATTTAATTGATGAGAGTAAAAATTTCTAGAATGTTCTTAGACAGTAATAATAATAATAATTAATTAATAATTTTTTAGAAATTTTTTTTCCATATGTGAGTGTTTAACGTTTTTTTTTAAATCAAATTTTACATGAAAAAAAAAAATATTTTTCTTGCAAAAAAAGGAAAGAAAACAAAGGAAATATTCAAATGCCAACCAACTCTTACACAATAGACCTTTTGTAAAAAAAAAAAAAAAACGAACGAACCTTAAAAAAAAAGGGAAAAAATAATAATAATAATAATAAAAACGCAAGAGTATGAAAAAAAAAATAATAATAATAAAACGAGAGCAAAAAAACCCGCGCAAAAAAGGAAAAAAAAAGGAAAATTTGAATACATGGATATTATGCATAGTGTCCAATAAAATTTACGGAACGAATTAAAAATTTATGGCCGTAACCAATTATTTTATTCATTGGAAAGTTTTTTTTTTTTTATTTTTTTGACGGGTTTATTTTTTTTCCTTTTTTTTTTTTTGGCTACTTTTATGCAGAATTTGTCCCTCTTTCTCTCTC